TAACTTAGTAGCTTAGTAACTAGTAATTAGTAACTTAGTAACTAGTAACTAGTAACTTAGTAAGTTAGTAACTAGTAACTTAGTAACTAACTTTAAAGTAAATTATAAAGAAGTTCTACAGAATATGCATATAAATATCCAACGTACTACAAATATACGAATATCTAAAGTATAATATATTTATTTCTATAATATATTTCTATAATATATTTCTATCGCTTAAAAAATGAGGACAACATATCATTTCTCCATAAAATTAAAAAAAGTTATAATTTATATATACATATATATATATAATATTTATATTATATATTATACAACATATATATACACAATTACAACATATATTATACACAATATTATATATTATACAACATATACAGTAAAAAATTTTATATGTATGTGCATATAATAATACATATATAATTATATATATAAATGTACGTGTGTAGTACTATTACACTAAACATTTGACCATATTTAAACGATTGGGACTTCGCAGATTAAGCTGCTCCTGCGATGATGAGTTTCACCGATGTCTTAAAAATTCAAAAGATGCTGTCGGCGGAAAAGTAGGGACTGTATACTTCACCTTATTAGGAACGCAATGCTTCCGAGAGGATTATCCTGTTGTTGGTTGTAAGTCCAGCACCTTGTAAGTACGATTAATACATTGTCTGACACGGTATACTCAGCGAATTCAATCGTAAAATCGCTTGTACTGAAATTTAAAGGAAATTTTTATTGTTGCAGTACTGGCCGTTGTTTGGAGTACGAGTTTGACACAACGAAACCAAAGGAGTACCAGTGGTTTGACGTACCTTTTTACTAGTCAACGGATCTCGAATATTAATATACTTTCGTTACTTAATATACGTAAATACTTAAAACTTAAAATATCATATAAAATATATTTTATATTTTATAAAATATTATATTATATAAAATATTATATAAAAATTATATTTTATGTATATTAATGAAATATTAATGATCCAAATATCCAAATTGGTTTGTTCAAGATGAATGTGCTGCGTACCATAAATTTAATTTATTTCACTTTAACTGTCTAACTAAGTATGTAAGATACAGCTTGAAGAAAAAGTGAGACATTATTGTTACATTTGAATACGTATTTTTAGCAATGATTTTGCAATATATTGTTAGTAATATTGTGTAGTGTAAACATATATGTATATATTAAATGTATTCTATGTATCATTCAATGTTCATTTATTTTTTCTAAAATAAAATAATTTTAATATTAATATAATAATTTTAATATTTTAATGTTAATAATAATTTAAAATAGTTAAAAATTGTTTTTAAGAATGTTTAATAAAATATAAATCATTTATACATAAACCCATGTATCAATAATTTCAAAATTTTAATTTACATATTTAAAAGTCGTGATAAATACGTAAAAAGTGGATGGTCTTTCTGACATATATATAGTAAAATAATTTCCGTTAGTTACAAACTTCACATTTTGAAAGTTGACAACACTGTAACGGGTTTCAAAACCATTCAAAACCCAGTGCATTCATTACCAACCTCGATCGTTCTACTCGATATAATTCCCTAATTCACCGTTGTTTAAACGTAAAGTGCATTAAAAATCTAGTAATTTTTTACTATGTCGGTATTTCAGATCACGGACCACGAAATGTCATAAAATATTTGGTCTATTCATATTTCTTTAGTGCTTTTGCTCGTCACGTAGATCACGGTGTCATATCTACGCTTCTCTTATATTTGGACCATTTAATTTTAAAATTAGAGAACTACAAGGAGAACAGGTATTTACTTATAATAAAATGTTAAAGAAATTTAATTAAAATTAATTTGATTATATAAGATTTTCACCAAAACATTATCCATGAGGAATATCCATAATTATTGCGATTTCTCTCTGATACATTTTTTGATGTAAAATTTCTATCTTAGAATTTCTATTAATTTAGATCTATTAATTTCTATTAATTTCTATTTTAGAATATCTAAATTAAGGTAAGAGCAAATAATGGTTGTAAAAAATATTTCTGATGTTAAATGTTTTTCTTTTTTACGTTGTTTTAAAATGCTACTGTATTTATGATCTAATATTTTTTGTACTATACTATACTAATAATATTTTTTGTACTATACTATACTACTAATATCTTTTGTACTAACTACAGTATTTATGATCTAATATTTTTTGTCTTACTGATATTCCAAAAAAGAAATAATTAGTACTTATATCCTTTTCATAGATAGAAAAATCATCTGGCAAGTTGTACCACGATTTACGGATTAGAAAATTGTTTATACTTATAAATATATTTAATGCAAATCATTATTTTTTTTTTTTGTAGCAATAGTATTTAAAATGAAGGAAATACATTAAAATATTTTCAATACTCTTCAAATACAGACACTATTTTTAAATGCTATTTTAAAGAGTTATTGTACCAAATAAAATGTTTCATTTTCAAAGTTCTTCGTGTCTCTTCTCCAACAGTTGGATAACCTGCATCTTCAGGATGTCGATCATTTCCTAAATTTGATTTTCTGTGTATCGACCTTCGATTGTCCTCGTACCTGAAACGCGAATCGATGAGATCTCGAAACATTCCAATTTAAACTGGTCAGAATTTATCGTTCATCACCTGGTGATCCAACTGATCAATAGCATACTTACGTACCTCAAATACGCTACAGCTTTAGTCAGGAAAGATTCTGCGTCGACGATTCGACGTTGAAAGTCTCGATGCTTTTGAAATCTTAATGCTCTTGTTACTATTTTTCGCAACCATCTTGCTGAGCAATTTCTGCAGCATTAAATCCTATAGTGCCATTATCGGTATCGTAGAAAACCATAATATCTGCAAGAAAACTGCATACGTTAATATCGATAAGGAAGAAAAAGACAACGAGAAAGGAAGAAGATATTTCAGAAACGCGAAGAGCAATCGCACTGCGGAAAAAGAATAAGAAGAAGGTACGACGATGGTGAAAAATACTTGAAAATATCGATTGATGATCACGATTTAAGTCTGTCGCGTTGCTTGGTAACCAAAGCATCGTTCGAGATGCTGACGGTCGAATACGACTTTGGGAATATTTTCGTGAAGCTGATCGATACGGAAGGGACTAGAAGAATTTCATCTATTTCGCCATCGAGAATAATTCGAAAATAGGCGTTGATTGACGAATTATAGCCAATCAATTCGATAACGATAATTTTATTATCAATTGATATTAATTAACGCAATGTTATTTTGAAACATTTTTTTTCAAACGATCGATGTCAACCGATTCTTGG